TTGTAGGGAAATCTCCATTCCCTATCAGGAAGTCAGCAAGCATAAGAAGAATGGTCTTTAAAGGACTGAATATAAAAAACTGAGGTCTTGCATCTTTCACAGGTCTGCCAAACTGTGAAAATTATGTAGTGCTCCTCCCTCTTCCCTAGAAAGCATATATTGTCCTCAAAGAAGATAAAAACCCCCACACCAAAGTGTATTATGGGCAAAGGCTGAGGAATCAATGCACAGAATTGATACTTTGCTGAATTTTTCTGTTTAGGTTTTCTCTCTCACACACACATCCCAATCAAGTTTTCTCTTTTTAAAAAATTAAGTCTGCTTTCTCAGCAGCATGTTCCCTCTTTTCCAGCTTTTTCCTACTCATCGTTTTAATGCCTTGCAACAAAGGGAGAAAAAAGATAACTGGAGAATGGTTCTTCTACACCAGACCATCCAACTCTATATAAAGAATTGAGGGAGTTGTAAAACCTTCACCAAAAAGCAAAGAAACTTCACAACATATACAGTATGTCAAGAAGAGAACTCTGATCAGTTTATCATTTTTATGACATGAATTGCACAAGTACTGTGCAACAAGACTGCACAAGTATTTTAGTTGCAGCAGATAATCTAAGATCCACACATTACTATTCACAATACTGCAATGACAATTTCTAAGCCTAAACGTCTGTTTTTAAAGTACAGCTGCATTCAGCACTTTAGGTATTCGGTAAAGCAAAACTCAGTATTCAAATCTATCTCGTAATGAAGTGACACTAACAAATCCAGTCTTTTTTTTTTTTTTTTTAATTTGCCCCAGCCCCTTTTTTTCACCTTTTACTTCTGTTATATGATGTATGTACTGTTTAACATCTGCACACTTCAGCAGCAACGGGCAGTTAGGATAGTCTGAGTCTAGCACAACTTGATCGAGTGGCTGAAACTTTCCTTGTTGCTGAAAATACATCAAAGGGATTATAAAGCATTATTATAATGTTAAGACACATACACACACTACACATATAGAAATACATATGCATGCAATGGCCATAGCTTTAAAAAAAAAAGAAGGATTTAAAGAAGATCATATTTTGAAGAACACATGACACAGTCAGAAACTGATTACAAAGCAAGCTATAAATACTTATTTCAAAGCAGTAAATACCTGCAAAAGGCTGAACTCTTCAATTAGTGTACTTAAAAGACCAAATTTAAAACAACATGGGGAGAAACTAATGTGAAGTACAGTGGGATTTTTTGGAAGATGACACAAGACACAGTAGTCAGTGTGTGCCAATAGCATTTTAAACCAAAACCTGTTGGATTAAATCCAGTGTCATAACTTCCATTCAAATTCTGCTTTTCCTTCCATAAAGATAATTCTCAAAGGAGCAGGGCAGCTTCTGGAACACACTATTAACCTTTCACCTCTGCAAAGTCAATTCCAGTTTGGCCAGAGTATGTATATAAAGTGATTTTGGCACAACTTAAATAGCCCCACACATGACAGAATCATCAAACAAATTTTGCTGTTGCCAAACAATGCATAATCATTCAGCACCGTTTGGCACAACTGGCAGCCTTCCCTTTGGAAAGATCCTTTAGTGCATCAGTACAAAGACTCAGTGAGCTCTCCAACCTTAGAGAGTGCATGGTCTCAGGAGCCAAAGCTGAAGTCATTATACTGGTCAGCATGAAAAAAACCACTTGGGTATACTGCTTTCACTATTAATTAATCCTCTTGCTAGACAGTCAGAGGCTTAATAAAAGTAACCATCCATTGTTAAATCACAATAAAAACAAGCAAAAACCCCCAAACAACCAACAAAAAACCAAGCAAACAAAACCCAAAATAAAACAAAACCAAAACCCAAACACAACAGAAAGTATTTTAAGGTTTTTTCTCCAGAAAAAGAAAAGGCACAATAACAATGGCAAAAAGAATACTAGAAGATGCAGAAATCAAGCTGGAATAGACTGTTTCCTATAGATAACTTACCTGCACAAACCTGCTTGTGTCCCAAAACAAGACAGCCACATTTACATTGTGCAGAAGAGATACTAAGCCAAGAAAGCCTGCTGGATAGGAGATGGCTCTGCTCAGAAGACACATTAAGCAACCCTTCATCACACTATCAAAACCAAAGAATGGTGCAAAGGATGATCCTAACATACCCAGTGGGTACGTTGACACTCATTAGTTCAAGACAAGTGACTGTGCTGCAATCAAGCTGGCCTTGCATGAAGTACCTGCAACACAATCCTCAAGACTTCCCTTTACTAAAGAATAGGCTAACTTAGCCAGGCCACTGCAAGAACACATTTGCCCTGATTTAGGACCTAGAACAGCTCTATGGCATTTATCTGGCATCATGCCTGCCCTAGAAAACCAGAAACCTAGAAAACAATGTACCAAGAAAGTAAAGGGCAGTATACAATGCTTCCCAGGCACGGAAACAGCAGCAGTAGTTGTCCTTTATTCAGGCTACCTCAACACTCTACCACATAGAGGAGATTTATTGTTTCCCTAATTTAGGTTTGGTATAAAGCTTTCAAAGGGATGCTGAATTCGAAGAGAGCAGAGTGCCTAGAGAATGAGCTGAACTATTCCTGTGCAATTACTTCTGATGGGCCATCCTGAAACAGGAACAGACCACAGAAACACAAAATATATTTGCACATCCTATACCATAAATAATGTAAAAATAATGACAGAACAATAGGCTATTATTACAAATGTGTATTAGGACTTTATTTCTTCACCATATAAAAATTTTCTCCTGCATTCTCCACTCACTATCTAAAGCACAAAACAACCACCAACCTCATAGGAAATGCTGTTAGAGCAAAAAACTCTTAGGATGCATAAAGTGAATTTATTGCCACTAGGAAAAAGAAAAAAAAAACAAACCAAGGATCAACATTTACATTTTATTTCATGCCCTTTTTACTACTAGTAGATTATAAGCAGTAAATCAATAACTTTGCCTATGCATTTCAATACACTTCAGAAATTTAAGTAGGTTTTGCCATACCCATGATAAATCCAATTAAGCCATTTATTAATTATACAACTTTTGGACACTTGATCATCCTGTTGCTGATACAGCATCTTTACAAATACTGCTGCTAAGAAGGCAGTGTTTCCTTTTAAGTTCAAACTGCCACAGAAATGTTTCTTTTTCTCCATAGCATCCAAATTCTTCTTTCTTTTTCCCTTCTTTCCCAAAATGACTCATCTACTGATGCCTAAGAAAGGGCACTGGTTTGTTTTACTCTGATGACATCTCATAATTTAAAATTCAATAGTTCTGGGACAGGCTCTCACAAAAGGACAAAAGAGATTCTCTGTTTCTCTTAAAAAGGAGGTGATTAGTTTGCTGAGGTTGCAAGCTGACTCCTAGAATATACTTCACTGAAAAGAAAACTTCGTGCAAACAAAAAAAAATTCTAGGGTGGCTATGTCTGCTTTAAATGCAAATTAGATTTCCACTATTATGGAAGCCCCTCTTTGTAAAATTAACATAACTTCTGCAGAAAATGAAGACAGAAATAATGTTTTCTCCTAAGAATACCAGTGAAAAATAAAGCAGGCTTACCTCCTTGTCTGCCTTTATGAGGTAGTAAAGTACCAGAAATAAGGGGTCCATCGGTGTAACAAACAGCAGGCGCCCATCTAAGTGACAGATGTGTAAAAGTAAGCTTAGTACCAAGAGGCTTAATATATTAACTTTTTTTTTTAATGTTGTTCAGGAGTGTGGACAAGAAGAGGAGATTTTGTTGGGTTTTTTTAGTATTCCAATATTTTAATAAATGGGCAGGAAACTGTATTTGTGATTTTATACTAAAAATACAAAGAGAACTCAACTCTCAACCCTGTCAAACCAAGGCATAAGCTCCACTGCAGGTCTGCTGGTTTCAAGCACTCTCAGTTTTGCCTTTTTCTAGACTATATTAAAACCAGCAAAATTGAAGCTGCCCTCTATTGGCAGATTTGGGTGTAACACAAACTTGGTTTTAGATAACCAGGTACATCCAGCATACTCCATCTCAAACACTGGGCAAGGCAACATTTTGCTGGCTGAAAAGGCAGGCAGGGCAAGAAAGAATTTCAAGAGCTAGTTAAGTTAGATATGCCTCTCATCTGTATGGGGTGAATCTGCATGCAGTCTCCTAATAGTACGAAATAAACTTAAATAAAGCAGAAAATATGGCTCAGTATGTTATATTCAAAGTTACACGCAAAGGAAGAACTTCGTCTCCCATTGAAACACACTTTGGCCCATCTGGACCTCATTGTAGGACAATGGCTTACTCAGGCTTTTTATATTATTGTAGATAACTGGAAACAATGTAACATCAAGGAAATTCACTAATAAGACCAAATAATTGATGACAATTTGACATTAATTAGCAAACCAAAAGCAAGCAAATGTAATTTTAATTTTGTTTGAAATCACATGATTAAGATAATTAAAGAAAAGTAAATCCTTTTGCAATAGCCCTAAAACTAACAAAAGATGGAGTGGGAAGAATGTGGTCTGGACAAAGCTAACACCTGCACTCTAACATGATGCATTGCATGCGGCAAAGCAAGCATCAGGACTATTTACAGAAACACCAGCCACTTTCTCAAAGCTTTCATTTAAATGTTTTCCACTGTACCTCTAGGAAGAGGTATTTTTATTTGTTCTAAAAAGTGTGGACTCACTATAGGTGTACAAAGACCTGTGGCTTTCTCTGCACACAAGATAATTTGCTTTAACTGCAAACACACAGGGTTTTGCGCAGTTCTTCCCTTGACCGTTTCAGAGATGCAGCAGCCTAACATTCAGGAACAATTTCCCTCTCTTTGTATCTTTTAAAGAAAACTGAGGTGATGATTCCTTAAGGCAACTGTTTTCCAAGGGCCAAAACAGAGGTTACAAAGAGAGGCGGAGAATACAATGTGGACATAATTGGGAGCAGGGAGCAGACCCAGTCTTTTGGCTCACCCCCAGATGGAGCAAGGAAAAGCTCACAGACATACCGCTTGCATTGCTATATGCGCCTGCAGAGGATGTTTAAAAGTTAACACACGCTTTGGGATATTATCGTTAAAGAAGGCATATGTCTGGTGGGGTTGCTTTTATTCATTACTATAAATGGTTCTAGTTAAAAAGGATAAAATAAATATACTTTCATCTCCTGAACTGATATTTATTGCTTGGTCTATGGACATGCTGGCAGGGAAAAACTACTGCAATGACATCCTTACTGATAAAGGATTGTTAAAGCTGTCACAAACAGTTACACAAGTTTCCTCCTCATTTTCAGAAAGGCAAGCTAGGATCAGAGAATGACTAGGACGTTACAAAAGAGCCTACTTCAGACCAAACACCGAAATGGCACCATCAAACAGCAGACCTATCTTGAGATACCCGCACTCACATGGGGGACTACAGAGGTAATGAAAAGAAAGCAAGACCATACATTCCAATGCTTGGAGCTCTAACACACCACTTAGCTTAGAGCTAAGGCCTTCCAGCCTTTTTTCCCCTCATGTAGGATAACACATATTTTACTTACATCAAGGACTTTCTGGTGTGATTGACAAGGCAAGCTAAGCATTTTATGGCACTCCAGTTTAAATATAATTGAATGACCTCCCCCCTGCCCCAAAGACAAATGAACATCTGTCTAATTGAGGCTGCCAAAGACAGCCTTTTAAAGAGAGACCATAAAGCCCCCAGCCCTGGTTAAATCCAGATGGCAAACGAGTGTGTCAGAAGGTGGAGATGTGATGCAGCATGCCCCAAACAACTAGGAAAAACACCTGTAAATTTACTAGAAGAGACAAGGAAGGCCGGCGTATGAACATTAGTTACAGTTGGGAGAAGGATACATTATATTACTCACCTTGTTGAACAGTCTGACCTATAAACCAAGAACGATTTTCCTCATGAAAAGCTTTTACTTCAAACAGCTGCTGTGCACCACTATTGAATAAGTAAAGGGTTGCTTCCCCTGTTGAAAAGAAATCTGGTTTGTGTTTGTAAGCTTTCACAAAAATCAAAAGAATACCCAATATGTCTGAAGAATGTGCCTTATATACATACAGACACACAAACATACACACATTCTACATAAACTCACTACAAAGAAAGCTCAGACAAAGAAAACTATTATATACAGATGTTCATTTACCAGCTTTATAAACCAAACTGAATTTGAATCAATAAATAAGATGTGTGAATAGTTCATCTTACAACACAAAGCCTTTGATCCAAACCCAAATCAAAGTCACTCAAGAAATCAGCTTTTGTCTCTGTACTGAAGGGAGAAGGTGGAAAACAAGAAAATACTCACTCCTTCCATTATGTTTGTTTTCAAGGTATCAGACTCTGGGTTAGGGGAACAAAAGTCTCAAACATTAAAGTGACAATTTGAAATTTATTTTTTTGCATGCATCAAAATGGATTGCAAATGGCTCAGTATGGGTAGATAAGGTGAACAAGGAAGCTAAAAAGTTGATTCAAAATGCCCATCAGAATCTTGATAGTTTGGAAAGCAAAGCTTTATTTTAGGCCACCCTATAGGCACAGCTCTGCCATTTCACATTAGTTCTAGGTTATAATAAAAGGGTGACAAATATGTTGTGAACAGGATTGTATTTTCCATATCTAAACCAGAAAGCTGTCGGAACTACAGAAGGGGCCACTGAAATTTGGTCAGCGGGGTCTGCAGCTGGACTGGTCCTGTCTTGGTTACCAATCCATCTTCAAGAACACCTCCCGTATGAAGATAGGCTGAGAAAGTTGGGGCTGTTCAGCCTGGAAAAGAGAAGGCTGCGTGGAGACCTCATAGCAGCCTTCCAGTATCTGAAGGGGGCCTACAAGGATGCTGGGGAGGGACTCGTAATTAGGGACTCTAGTGGTAGGACAAGGGGTAATGGCTTTAAACTTAAACAGAGGAAGTTTAGGTTAGATATAAGGAAGAAGTTCTTCACAGTGAGGGTGGTGAGGCACTGGAATAGGTTGCCCAAGGAAGTTGTGAATGCTCCAACCCTGGAGGTGTTCAAGGCCAGGCTGGACAGAGTGTTGGGCAATATAGTTTAGTGTGTGGTGTCCCTGCTCATGGCAGGGGGGTTGGAACCAGATGATCTTAAGGTCCTTTCCAACCCTAACTATTCTATGATTCTATGATTCTAAGAACAACAACAACATGGCAGTCCTGCTCAAAACACATAAATTGCAAAGCTGCACTGACTTGCTGGCTCTAAAAAATCCCAGTGTAAGCCCTTGCAAGCTGACACGAGCACTGCTGTTCTCAGTCTGCAGAGAGGGCTAAGGGTGGAGGGATGTCAGCTAAATTGGGCAAACGCATTTCTTCCCCAAAATGACTGATAATGCTTTTTTCCGCCCTTCATCCAAAGGACTGACCACATGTTTAACCTCACCTAAGGAGACAGTTCTCTTATAATTTTTCTTCTGGGGAGGAGAGGAGTGAAAACTAGATAAGAGGGGGAGCAGAGATTTCAATCATTACCACATGCTTCTCAACAAGGCTCTACACCATAGTTTGATCAGTACCAGACATCAAACTACTCACAGAAGTGCTTACTGAACAACTTAAGACTCCTACCAGTGAGCACGCTAGCCAAATGCAGTGGTGAGCTACAAAATTTTGGGAGAGGGACTAATAATGCCTAGCTCTAGCTTCTTAATTTACTTTCTTTAGTTAAAAGGACAGTCACCACAGGTTCCCTGCAGTGTCATTAGACAGAAACTCTAGGGGATGAAGGGATGAAGGGAGAACCTAGGCACCTAGTAAAGTAGCTCACAACTTTACTATTTCAGTGAGTTGCCTAAGTTTTGTGGTATAGTTATTTCCCTTCTTTTAGTTCAGCACTTTGAAAAATGCATCTTGTGGTATTTCTGAACTGCATGCTAAACCCTAATTTATAGTCTTTGTAAGGGATAGAAATTTTGTACTTTTTATCTGTCTATAAAAAGGACCATGCATACTTTATTTAACAAAGTGGTTCACATGAATTCTACTGTGCTGAGTCCTTCAGTGTGTATTTATACAATATCTGGCATCAACAATTCATCTGTGAGACCCAAATGTAAGGAAAACACATTAATAGGGTGTTCTCAGTCCTTCCATTTTCAGACCGTATTCTTATAATGGGCTACATAACTGAAAGTTTTTGCAGGTCTATAAATAAGCTCCTGTAAATTCTAAAGGAACACACCCAATTATACTTCAGGTTTTCCCCAGAAACCTTTCCCAAGATCTCCAGTTCCACAAGGTAAATAGATCTCTTCTTCCACAGAGAAAAGCAAATTAATATCCACACTTCTAAAAACATAATGGATTAGAAAGCCAATATAATACATCAGGTGGAAAATATCTGAGGCTATATATTCCCACTGCAAATCTGAACATTCAAAAAGTAGGTATCATGATGAATATGTGAGTTCACATTTTATATCAATTGTTTTTAATTACTTTCCTCTTTCAAAAACAAGTAGCAGCTACTATATTGAAACATTAAAACATACCTGAAGACTTTAGTTAAACATATATAAATAGAAGCAGTTAATTTCAAAACAAAACCATACAACTTAAGTCTACAGAAAACAAATGAGCTTATGAAAAGGAAAAAAATCAAACAGCATGAAATGTGGTTTTCAAACAAAATATTTTAAACCTAACAAAGGCTTACTGCAAGTTTCTGTTGCAATGTCTCATAGTCCAATTATTACATTACTCTGTAATAACGAATCCTTGACAAAAAGAGCAACTTGGCTAGCTGAAAGTAGCTGAGGGATGGTAGTGTCATTATATTGTCTGCATTTCCTGGTCTTTCCAATGTATTTTGAACTCAGAGTGTCTCATCATTTATTAACAAGAGAAGAGACACCACCACTTGGACCAGGGCAAGAAGAAAAATTCCATCTTAAAATGAAAAGACTCAAAAAGTTTAGTAAGTATAACTGAATCAGATCTTGTAACTCTGACTATTTATTTTATAGCATAAGATGAATGCTATGAAGCCTAAATTTGGATTAAAAAAAAGCCCAGGCTCAACACCCAACACGGTAAGCTCCCCAAAACTAATGCACTTAAAAACAGAACTTGCATTACACCTCTTTTTTGTGCTGCCAATATTCCTGATGAATAAACAGTTCAACCAATTGAAATCATAAAAGAAATCCTAAATGTTTGCACAGCATTAACTATCTGGCATCGCCAGCAGTATTTTTGGCATGTAAGACTTATACTATCATCATTATTTCAGCTTGCAAAATATGAATCTTTTGGTGGTGGAGGGAATCAACCAGAACATTAACAGGCTCATGTCACAATTGCAAAACTTGCCTGTGCTTGGATTGCGCAGCTTTGTAAACAAAGGTTCACTGTCAGGTGTCTCAGGAAAGTCAGTAGCAGCCTCTGTAGGGGGAGAGGAAAAAGTTATGAACTCATAAATGGAGAAGTATTTCACATTCTGCCATGCTTCTCCAAGGCATTCAGAATCAACTGGATGGACACTTTTTGAAAACTCATGTATTTTCTGCCTGAAAGTTATACGCATCAGCCCAAATTCATCCTACCTGACCAAGACACCTAAATTATGATTCCAGACTTCCTGGCACTCTCTATTTGCCACAGGAAAGATAGGCACCTAGGGATGATTTAGATTTTGAAAACCATTTCCCCCTAGAAAGCCTCAGGCAAGGGAGGCCCTAAGTTTGATATCTCAGTTAACTGAGATGAACTGATATGTTGCCCTGTTTAGTTACAAAGACAATGGGAATGCTTTGGTAAGTTAGGCCACGCACAGGATGGACACTAAAAAGCTAAAAGTGGAAAAGGTAAAATATTCATAGGAAGAAACAGTGGTCCTCTACAGCTTTCAAGAAGTCAAATTATGCAGGAATACAGGGCAGGAATTGTCTGAGTGGTTGTTACTTCTGTGGAAAATATGCACACTTGTTTATCTGTTATGTATAATCTTAAAAAATAAAGAGTGCATTTAATTCCCTCCAGAGGAAAAAGAAGCTGAGAGAATACAGCACCTCTGGCTTAAGCCTCTGACAGTTCTCTTTTCTGTGTCTTTAAGCAAAAAAAAAAAATAAAAGACAAAAAGCAGAACCACGAAGTACTATTTCTCTGTGAAAATAAAAAAAAAAATAAATAAAAAATAGAAAGGAAACAGCTCCCACAAGGATGTTGATTCAAGTCTGAGAAAACATCTATAAGGATCCCCAGTTAATTATATTCTGTCCAAGTTCTCTTTTAGGGAAAGTTTAACTTATATTTATGAAAACAACTTCCCACATCTGAATGAAGAGCAACATGACAGCATCATCTTTCTTAGCTTGCATGCTGCCAGTTCTGTCCCAATTCCTTTCATATAGGCATTCATCAGAGCGAGGAAAATTACTAAAGCATTTCACATACATAACCAGTATCCAGACCCCAGAGAATGGACTGACAGAGATCAGACTGGTATTTGCTGCTGAGGAAAACAGAGAGAGGTGGCCAAGGCAAGTTGCACAGCTATCCTTCACTTTCAATAGCATCCAGGAGGTTTGTGGAGAGGGAGATAGCACAGTTCTTTTCTGTGGAAAACAGGGAAGTAGGAGCCTCAAATACACCAAAAATAGTTGTCCTCCACTCTGTCTGAAAGCCTTTCCCCAACACATGTGGAAAGGACAGGTGAACTCCTCACAGGCTGTCCACTGGCACCTCGGTGGGGTAAAAAAAAAAAGAAGCCCTAAATAACCCTCATCTTTCACATCCACTCCTGGTTATTCAGTTGTGCCACAAACAGAAATTGCCCAGATAAGGACATAAGCAGGGCTTAAAAAGCAAGCGTGTTTTGTGATAAAGTGTTGGAGGATAATAGTTCTCCAAGAGATTTGGAGAATTTATGGTCATTTTCTTCCCCTGAATTTTTAGCTGAGTCTTCAGGTGGCTTGAAAAAGTGCTTTAAAAAGTTTCAATATAAGTTGAGGGGTTTTAATGGAAAAAGTCCATATTTGCTAACCAGACTTGCTTCATATGCTGATACATAAACACACACAGTTGTCAAGCTACATTTGCCCTGGCAAAGGCAAACTTCAAATTTCTAGAGCTGTGTATATTTCAATTCTTGACCACAGTTTAACATTAGTTTGTTTTTTGTTACTTTTTAAAACACTACAGTGATTAATGACAGTGAAAGAAACACACTGCATGTGTTTACTTTGATGTGTTTCACATGAACATGTTAAAATATACACACTAAATGTGAGTTTCAAAATTTAAAACAAAAAGCAAAACAAAAAAAACCCAAAGGAACTTTTAGCCCTCACTTGCTCTGCTTTCTTCATGCATAGATTTATGAACACTGGGAATGAGTCCAGCTGAGCCCTGAGTTGCATCTTGTATAACACGAACAATTAAGTAGACCATCCTTCCTAATGGCGATGTTTTTAATGAAGTTCACATCTTTATTTAGCTGATCTGTTCTTTTCCTAACTTTCTAGTAACACACTGGATTTATCCATCCTTGCTAAGCCTGGGAGACACCTGCACACAGGGAGCACTCAGTGTAACAAACCCAAAGTGTCCCATCTCTTCCTCATCAATCCTCTGCCTTCCAGCCCAGATCACCTCTCTCTACCACTAAGACCTGCCCCATACTAGCGCAAGCTCAGTACCCTCTGCTCTGCTCCTCTGTATATGCAGCCTGGCCCTGCAGCAGCCTTGGCTCAGCCAGTAGCTCTTCCACATGTGAAGAGGAGCACAACTCTGCCCATTTAGTTCTTTGGTCCTTCCCAAGCTCCATGGGGTTCATCACTGCAGACGGCAGCAGTGACCATACCTTAATGAACAGTCTGAGTTGCAGCCTTCAGTCCCAGTGACACGATCATAGCATATGTCATGTTCTCCACACAGCCACCACAAAAGGTGGTTTACAAGAAGGGGCACACACACAAGAAGCAGACAAAGGCAAAAGTGGTCTCTTAAGAGTTTCTTTCACCTTCAGTTTCCTCAAAATGTAGGCAATACCCCACTACATTTCCAAGGGCATCTGAAGTATATATTTATTACAGATGGGCTCTACTAGATGTAAAGTTGGCAGATAAAGAGAAGCAACTGGGAGAATGCCTGCTTGGAAAACTGGATGCAATACTAACATGGCCTTAAGGACAAAGAAGGCCCTATTTATCTGAATTTAAACACTTCATGACTAGGAAAAAGCTGCGCAAGGGATTTTTGAAGTTAAGTGTCCAAACCTAACTTGTGTGTGCTCTGGCCTTTAGCCAGGAAAGGTAACTGGATTTCTTTAATATCATTACATTTATCAGTCCTTGTATTTGGGCAAGGATCTCTCATAGCTAAGTAAATACAGACTTCTTAAAAACCAGTAGCGTAGCAGTTTTCTCGCAAAACTAAGAGTTAAACTACCAAATGTCTTGCAGCTTACAGTTGCAGGTTACACACAGCAAGTACAGATCAGCTTACTAACAGATGTGCTAGTACAGTATGCTATTATCTAGGAAAATATTCGCTACAAGGATACAGAAACTAACACAGGGGTACAGAGAGGCTCAATTAATTCTATCCCAAGGAGGCACCTCAATTTGCAAACCACTCTCTAAACTGCCAAGGAAGACAATTGACAGGCACTTCCAGGGGGCAGCTGAAGCCACCTAAATCCTAAACGCACCTGTATCATCCCATGCAAGTACATGCCTCTATCTCCGTTGAACTTACACCTTCAGCAAGACAGAATGAATCCAGATATAGCACCACTACAGCTATACCAGAGGAGGAAGTTCTGAGGACAATTAAATGCCAACGCTGGGCTAATAAGTATGTTTACTTTGCTTAAGTTAAAGTCTACTGTTCATTTACTATTAATCAAATCACACAAAGTCCATCTAAAAATGTAGGTGATGCATCCATCAGTTGTATTGGACTCTACAAACAGAACCTCAGAAACCTGAAGCTGAGCGAGAGAGACTATAAAAGCTTAAACAAAGCTTTCCATTACAGAAAAGGAGAAAAGCCTATCATATTTCGTGGAGGTCAGACATACAACCAGGCAAATTCTATAAAATATATAAACAGAACAAAGTGAAAATGAACCAGCTGTCAAAGGATTTCTGGCAATAATTTCTTCCACAATGGACAGATATGAGGCACTAATGAATCTGGCTATTAAAAAAAAAAATGTTAGCTGGTACAGCAACATGAATAAATTGGAAAAGAACATAAAACTCCCACTAAGATCTATGAAACTGTTATGGATGATGCAAAGACTATTCACGTGTTTTGTTTTTTTGGGGGGTTGGTTGGGGTTTTTTTTTAATTGCTTATAGAATACTATATGTAACAGACTAATATCAAGTTATATGGAATTCCCATGAAAAAAGCTGCCAGCCAAGCAAGCAAAAAGGCTGTAAATATCTGTCAATTGCGTAAGAGGAAAAAACCCTCTGAGAGCACAAATTTCCCTACCACCATCGCCCTGCAAAAAACAGGATTATTTAAAAGTCTGGAAATATAAAGTTAAGATTTCATTTAAAAACAGATATTAAACCATACGTCACCTACACAAGTCTTTTCCATTCCCTTCTTAACTTCTAACTATGCACGAAAGGTGTGTCAGATGGAGACGTTATGATGGAGCCCATTAAATGGACATTTTATGGAAGACTTTAAATTCTGTAGCCTAAGGGTAAGATATGCTAAATCAAATAATCATTTTATTTAGGTTCTTTTTAGAATCAGTCAACCCTGAAGTAAATGGTTTTAACTCAGTGCCTGTATCCTCTATCCTGCAGCATGCCCTGAAAAAAGTCCAGTGAAAATTAATAAATCCAGTACTTTGTAGCAACCAAACTTTTGAAAACTTTTGTAAGTTAAAAGGTTATTAACTATTAGCATAATGAATGAATTCAGGTATGCACAGACTGAGGGTACTGTTTCATGAGTCGCTTCAAATGACAAAAGATCACAGGTCACTGAAAAGCTCAGTCCAGAGGTCTCCACCTCTGCTCACCTCGTTGTACATCCCTGCTACTTTCCTTCCATCAAAACCAGCAATCTCATGGCCACATAGCAAGTCGGCTCAGTTCACTGATCCAGCTGAGAAATAACCAGTCACTAAAAAAAGTATTACTTTTCACCCAGATCAGTAGGCTACTCTCACTCACCATGTGGTTACATGATCACTGGCACAAAGGGACAGAACCCATGGCAGAAGCAGATGGCATGGAATGTAACCTACTATGTATGTGATGCTGGGGTCTTTGACCAGTGTAAGCTAATTAGAAAACTGGACTGTATGTGACTTTACAGAGGTAAGAAATCAAGAGATGAACCACAAGGCTACATTGTTACTTCGTGGCTCACAATACTCTCAGGGGAGCTACTCAAGCACACAGCTTGATTTATTTCTGCAAACAGCCTCTTTTGCAGATGTTTATACATAAGGTACGGCTTTGCACTTGCACACACTTAATTTTTGGAAACACCTTCTTAGTTGTTATTCAGTTATGTTAACTTGATGTTACCTGACTACCTTCCCTCTCCTTGACCATACATATTACTAGCTTCAGTAAGAGGACTTTTGCCATGCCTGTTGTAAAAGATAGACTTGTTATCAGTTTAGTAATCACACCATTTAGTATCTGGTACCCTAAGGAAGTAACATTTAATGTGATATAATTTACACCCCTTAAAGTCTTTCTGGCTCCCATTTCACCGGAAAATCCTATGATAAAGCATAATGGTATGTTAGTGCTAAAAATGACATTGTTTTCTATCTTGAGCAAAACTTCACATGGAAATGCTACTAAATGGTTGAAGAGGTCCTTTGTTCCAGTAACTGCTATACAATACAGCCAAACATTAAGGCTTCTGCCTGAGAGCATCTTTTGGCTTCCCCTTACGCTGGCACAGTCCACTCCTTAGGCCAAAAAAACATGTTCATGGACTCTCTGGCAGCAATGGACAGTACTAATTCAGCTGTTACTGAAATCTCAATCCTAGTCAGAACATGTAGGACTTTGAGCTTAATAAAGGAGAGGTCAATCTTGAGAAGTTCAAGAACAGGTTATCACTTGAAAAGATAAAAACTTCAGACTTCCCTTCTCAATATTTATAGGGTCAACGCTGGTGCAGATGTATTACTGCTTGAATCAGCCCTATTCCCATGTGCAGAGAGGCCTAAGTTGGCATAAGTTGGTCTCTTCCAAGCCAGATGGCAGAAAGCAGAAGTAGGAGATGGTGTTACACATTAAAACATCTCTTTTCAGTTATTTTATTTGCTATGCTTCCTTCTGGCTCCTTAGCTTGCCAGTTATATCTGCTTTATACACAGCTGAGCTCAGTATGCTTTTTAAGAGATGACATACAAGAAATGGTGCAAATTACCTGCAGGCAAAAGGCTTTGTTCAGAAGATGCAAATGCCCATTTAGGGGGAGGTTAAGTAAAATATGCCCAAGGAGTTCTAACTTCTGAAAGAAGCATATTTACATTCACCTTATTAAAAAGATATAAAAACATGTGCACATATTTTATACAGTATTTTTAATACTTTAAGTCAGCTATTAAAAAACATACGCATTTGTTTATTGTAAACATTACTTCCAAGTTCTTTAATTTATTGTGGAAGCATTAATGTTCAATTATCCTGCTCAATTTTGACATTCTTAGAACTCTGAATCAAGCTCCATAACAGTCCAGCGGTGTGGTCTCTTTCGTAGCAGATAAACCGAACTGGCGTTTAAACGCTAAGTAAAAGCATGTATCAAAGCTTTAAGGGCAAGGTATGAGAATGGAAAGAAAATAAATACAAAATCTGCCTACTTCCGATTTCAAAGCAAAATATTTTCATGCATTAGGTATTCCACTGCTTCTTTTGCTATGACATCTTCTCTCAATATGACCCAAAATTTTCAAGTCAAATGCTTCCTCTGTTGTTCCACAGAGACAAAAGTTCCTTAGTCTCATCTGAAGGAATGAAGGATTAATTTAATGTGTGCTGATGCCCTATGGTTTGGCATCACAGTCCATTTATTTCTGCCTCCATCTGACTTTTGGCACACATGAGATTTGTTCAAACAACTTGCCAAGTCTAATGCAAAACTGCTCCTTTTATTTTTAAATAATTCCTAAAAATAATAGGATTGTTAATTTCCTTCCCCCCTTGCAATCATTCCAGTGCTATTCATATGGCAGTTCCCATAAAACAATAAAAAAGCTAATCAATTTACTGTTGAAGAAAATAGTAGACTGAAAATATATAGTCAACTAAACTTGCCTAGTTCACAAAAATAAAGGTTGAAAATAATTTTCAGCTTGCAGCTAACCTCTACTTCTTTTCCTAATAAAGACAAACTCTGAACAAATTAAATACAGCAGTCTTAACTTCAAGTGTGGAATGGAACACCAGGCTTAGAAAAGTGCCTTTGATTCCTGACCTCTTTGCTAAAACCAGTGAAGGATATAAATAATTTCAGTTCTGACATTACACCTATCCCTGAGAAAGTGTACTGAAAAGAGACTGCCCTTCGCACCCATCCTGTTAAGTAGCTAGTGTCATTTTGGTTGCTATTCACATGACCAGCTTGAAGACATTATGTAAGAATGTGTATTTGTTATACAGAGCCCGGAGAAGATCTATGTCACACAAAGCAACTTTATCTAAGTGTTTGAGGGTCTTCCAGAGCCCTGCCTTTAGGACTCTACAATTAAGTAGGATATTTCTGTCTAGAAAATAATTTCTAGTTCTTTTGATTTTCAGAGAAAATATTTAAAATGGTAGTTCCATGGGCCCAGCTCACAAAGCAAGTAGACATTTCCTATATAAAAAACCTCACTGGTTCTGGTAGCAGGATTTTAAAAAAATGTACATGAATACTCTGCAAACACAGACAGAATCTCCCCTAGTAAAGCACAAAGCACACCATCAGCAACTTTCTAGCTGTGAGATAGCCAGGTTTTAATCCTCAGGAGCTACCTTGCTTCCCTTGTACCTGTTCAGTAGCCAGACCAACAAACAGGAAGCCTGTACAGGAAGCTCTACATCCTCAAGGGTAAAGGGGGCTTGGATACATGGGTAATATAACATTCCTGATTATCTAACTATTATGAGAAATGCAGAAAAGCACAATCTGGAAAATCAGCAGTCCATCAATGAAGTCCACGTGGGTCCTTCAGGACTTGTTAGCACTTTGGTGTCTCTGTACCATGATTCCTCCAGAACCCCAAATTCGGGAGGTCTTCTTAACCATCAACGTCAATTACCCTGCACAAAGCAAGTTCAGATCTGGGTTCCCAGCCAAGCTAATAAAATCCCCTGGAACATGAAGCACAGCACAGAAACACCCAAGTGGGTCTGCACAGAGCCAGCTTGGGTCCATCAGGACTTATTAGTTCAGACACTGTCTGAAAGCAGCTGCACTGCAAAGCTGGTCCTGGAAACAGCAGAGATGTGTTAACATGGCACAGCGCTTGAACTAATAAACTGTTAGTGCTGAGTTGGGTCTGCTCTAGGCCAAATCTGGTGCCTGTATATCCACAGCATAGTTAATTCTGCAACTGGAGAAACTGCCCAAAGAATTGACTCTGTTTCGAGCCCAGCACGCACAGCTCTACTCCTACCCATACATCCAAGTTTTCAGTCCTCATCACCTCTCTACATATGACCAATCCCTCCATCTACCCTCTTCCTGTTTGTTCATAATTTTCTCTCTTGATTACTCACAGTCATTTCTCAACCTTCCTCTATATGTCCATGACAAGGCTGCACAATCCTGCCTCCATGGAAAAAAATAAGTATCAACAGAAACACCATCACAAGAGCTCTCACCAGGACGAGGGCAGGCTACCATTCCTAAAGGTAAAAATTGCCACCTCACCTAGATGCTGTTTACCAGCCAGCCCAGGTATGACTGTCTGAGGCTCTCCT